GAATCCGTGACATCATCACATCAAAGCCGTGACATCATCACATTTGAAAGTGATGTCACTAGGGCTGCAGCTATCGATTATTTTAGTAATCGAGTACTCTATCGATTAATCTGTCGATTAATCGAGTAATCGGATAAGAAATGTTTTGCTCTCACTGTAATACTTTGCATTGAATCACGTTTGCCTCATTAAAAACCATCAGTAACACACAAAACTGAAATAGGCCAGGTCTTTCAAATGAATATTTTTACTGCATAAATCAGGAACCAAAAGTTTTACATTTTACACATCGCACTGATGCCCATCCATGCTTTTCGGTCAAAATCTTAACCGCTGCGACAATGTTGGCACCGTTGTCATGGACAACAGCTTTGATCTTGAGGATTCCTATGACATCATCATATTCCATTTACTATGAGGATTCCGATGACATCACAATTACCTTTGGGCTTGCCATCTATCGTGACCAATCAGAATTAAGCAGGGGCGGGACTTCTAGAATCAACCACGTAAATGATTGACATGTGATTGTTGTGTACAAAACCTGTCAGAACTACTGTATGTGTGCAGCTGTAAGAATTTATAGTTGTGCAAAAATACATTTGTTGTACACAAATGTATGTTTTTATATATATGAATCATTAACTTCTGAGTTTTTTTTTAATTTTATTTTTATGAAAGCTTTGCCCTTATCCTTGAATTGTGAATTGTGATACCCTCAGTCAGGATTTTTTTACTCAGTTTTTTTATTCATCAAATTTTTTCTCAGTTGTTGCTTTTTTGTTTCTCCTAAAATTCACTAGGAGAAATAGTTGAGAATATAGCAGCAGGGTTCTTGTTTGAGACCTAAAGCAGAGAGCTTATTAATGGTTAATTTTATCCCTAAACAAAATGATAATGAGACACAGAGGAAGTGAAGAAACCACCAAAATTAAACAGCAATCCCATGCCAACAATACTACAATATTTGACAAATCACAAAGTCTCCCAAAGTAAAATTTTAATTCTGTTTGATTCAGGCGCCTGCTATCCATCAAAAAAGAAAGGAAAAAAAAGATCATTTTAATAACAATAACTTTATTTATATAGCACCTTTAAAAACAGACATTTAATTCATGTTTTTTTTTTTTAAATCTTTTTAATCACACATACACATAAAAACATACGAGTGTATATGTGAGTTGATTGTGGGAAGAAACCTGAGCATTCAGGAGAAAACCCAGAGAATAATGTTATGAGCTGGACTTGGGGTCTAGCACAGCTGCTGCTGCACTGCTGTGGAAGTCTAAAGTTCTGAGGGTGGGCCGTGGTTTTACGCTTGTGCTTATTTTTTCAATGTTTAAACTGATGGGGGGAGTTTTTTTTTCAACTTTTCAGTCAAACATACACACATATGCAAATATAAACATATGTGTGTGTGTGTGTGTGTGACTTGGTTGTCGGGAGAAACCTGAGCATCCAGGAGAAAACCGCACAGAATAATGCTATTAATTGGAGGTGTTTGAATATGTTAGTGGTCTGGGGATGAGGAGTGTATCAGCCAATGGTTATATTCATTGTGGATGGATGTACCTCCTTTGTCTGAATACTTTTGTTTTTTTTTTGGGCTGGGGTGGGGGACTGGGCTTCAGGTCTTTGGCCAACTGCAGTTTCTGGGTGGTGTAGGTTTTTGTAGTATCATATTTCGTAAAGCCCCCCTGTATGGGGCAGAGCTTATGGGGAAATCTTTGAGTAAAGCACAGCTATCCTGTTTTCGTCTGATTCGACGGGTTTCCCGTGTACTATACCTCAGTAAGGGTTCCCTTGTATCAGCAGCTGTAGGTCCGTCCATGTGTCTGAATGCTTCCGTTTTTTGTCTGGGCTGGGGTGGGGGACTGGGCTTCAGGTCATTGGTCAACTCCAGTTTGTTACATGTCAGCCTTGCTGGTACTCCATTTGCCTTGGGAGTACCTAAGGTAAGGTTGACAATATGTGGAGTGCCTTTGGCCTCAGTTTTAGGCAAAGCCTCTGTGCACTTTGCTCCAGCAGATTCGCAGTGTATGTATGCAGGAGGTGGCGATGAGTTGATAGGTGGGAGAAAGCTCTGTGGCCGATCATCCTTACATTTGTTCTCCAGCCTTGAAGGCGCTTTATTTGTGTTGAGAACAATTCGTCCAGAGGCTCGGGCCTTTTGTAATTCACGCTCAGCATACTCTTTGAACTCTTTCTCCTCAGCAGCTAAAGCTTTTGCTTGCCTTTTTTCAGCTTCCTTGGCCTCCTTTCTCTGCTGTTCCTGAATGGCACGTCTCTGTGCGTGTAATTTGACATTACCATCAGAAAATTGGATGTTTCTTGCCCTCGCAGATTTAGCTTTCTGGCTTTCCCTTTCAAAGTACAACCTGTTGTCCTCTTTCTGGGCCTCAATCAGCTCAAGATCTCTCGGCTTCTCCTCCAGCTGCTTCTGCACCTTTTCACGCATCTGCGCTTCATTGTGAGCTGAAACAGCTTGCAGCATTTGGTCTCTCTTCTCCCCCTGTATTTGTTCCTGTATTTGTTCCACCGCTGCTTGTTTTTTGGCCTCTTCACATACTTTCTCTTCATCCCTGGCCCGACTTTCCTCCTTCTTTTTCTCTTCCTTTTCCAACATACATCTGACCTTATCCATGCAAAACTCCCTCTGCACAAACCGGGGATCTATGTACTCTTTTCTTTGCCAGCATTGCTCTTCTATTTCAGACCGGTCACGTTCTATCTTCCTATCCTTCAAAATGGATTGTTGCTCCCTTTGTTGTTTATAAAAGTTTTTCTCAGCTATATCATTGAGACGACGTTTACGGTTGGCTGCCTTTAACTGAGCTTCTTTTTCAGCTTGATCTTTCTGCTCCTGTGCATACAACTCATCCAGGGCTCGAAGTTCAGCTCTCTCCTCCTCTTTCTCAGCCTGAATCTTCTTCTCTCGCAACAGTCTCTTCTCCTTCACCATCTCCTCATTCTCTTCATCCACTCTGCGCCAGAGTTCCTTTCTCCGAAGAGATTGCTCCTGCTGTTCTCTCAGAACTTGCTTATCATCAAGCACCATCTTCTCTTTGAACTGCCTTTCTTCTTCTTTAGCAATTTTTTGTCTTTCTTGCCGAAGTTTCGATAGTTCCTCATTTTCCTTTCTAATATTTATGGCATCCAGTTGACTGTGAAATCTCCTAACACAGTCTCTTTCTTTGTCGAGAGTTTCATGCTTTTTTCTCTCCTTCTCCTCTGCAATTTGAGTATCCAATGTGGCTTCCCACTCTCGGATCTGTTCTTGGGCCCATGCAATCTGCGACATTTTGACGTTATTTTGATGTTACGGTAAAATAAAGTCAATGTTTGTACTGAGGCTGTGTACTTCTGCTAATTTCTGAACGACTTATTTCTAAAAACCTTTGTCTTCTCTTCAAATCCCTTTAGAATCCGTGACATCATCACATCAAAGCCGTGACGTCATCAAAGCCGTGACATCATCACATTTGAAAGTGATGTCACTAGGGCTGCAGCTATCGATTATTTTAGTAATCGAGTACTCTATCGATTAATCTGTCGATTAATCGAGTAATCGGATAAGAAATGTTTTGCTCTCACTGTAATACTTTGCATTGAATCACGTTTGCCTCATTAAAAACCATCAGTAACACACAAAACTGAAATAGGCCAGGTCTTTCAAATGAATATTTTTACTGCATAAATCAGGAACCAAAAGTTTTACATTTTACACATCGCACTGATGCCCATCCATGCTTTTCGGTCAAAATCTTAACCGCTGCGACAATGTTGGCACCGTTGTCATGGACAACAGCTTTGATCTTGAGGATTCCTATGACATCATCATATTCCATTTACTATGAGGATTCCGATGACATCACAATTACCTTTGGGCTTGCCATCTATCGTGACCAATCAGAATTAAGCAGGGGCGGGACTTCTAGAATCAACCACGTAAATGATTGACATGTGATTGTTGTGTACAAAACCTGTCAGAACTACTGTATGTGTGCAGCTGTAAGAATTTATAGTTGTGCAAAAATACATTTGTTGTACACAAATGTATGTTTTTATATATATGAATCATTAACTTCTGAGTTTTTTTTTAATTTTATTTTTATGAAAGCTTTGCCCTTATCCTTGAATTGTGAATTGTGATACCCTCAGTCAGGATTTTTTTACTCAGTTTTTTTATTCATCAAATTTTTTCTCAGTTGTTGCTTTTTTGTTTCTCCTAAAATTCACTAGGAGAAATAGTTGAGAATATAGCAGCAGGGTTCTTGTTTGAGACCTAAGGCAGAGAGCTTATTAATGGTTAATTTTATCCCTAAACAAAATGATAATGAGACACAGAGGAAGTGAAGAAACCACCAAAATTAAACAGCAATCCCATGCCAACAATACTACAATATTTGACAAATCACAAAGTCTCCCAAAGTAAAATTTTAATTCTGTTTGATTCAGGCGCCTGCTATCCATCAAAAAAGAAAGGAAAAAAAAGATCATTTTAATAACAATAACTTTATTTATATAGCACCTTTAAAAACAGACATTTAATTCATGTTTTTTTTTTTTAAATCTTTTTAATCACACATACACATAAAAACATACGAGTGTATATGTGAGTTGATTGTGGGAAGAAACCTGAGCACCAGGAGAAAACTCGGAGAATAATGTTATGAGCTGGACTTGGGGTCTAGCACAGCTGCTGCTGCACTGCTGTGGAAGTCTAAAGTTCTGAGGGTGGGCCGTGGTTTTACGCTTGTGCTTTTTTGTGCTTATTTTTTCAATGTTTAAACTGATGGGGGGAGTTTTTTTTTTCAACTTTTCAGTCAAACATACACACATATGCAAATATAAACATATGTGTGTGTGTGTGTGTGACTTGGTTGTCGGGAGAAACCTGAGCATCCAGGAGAAAACCGCACAGAATAATGCTATTAATTGGAGGTGTTTGAATATGTTAGTGGTCTGGGGATGAGGAGTGTATCAGCCAATGGTTATATTCATTGTGGATGGATGTACCTCCTTTGTCTGAATACTTTTGTTTTTTTTTTGGGCTGGGGTGGGGGACTGGGCTTCAGGTCTTTGGCCAACTGCAGTTTCTGGGTGGTGTAGGTTTTTGTAGTATCATATTTCGTAAAGCCCCCCCTGTATGGGGCAGAGCTTATGGGGAAATCTTTGAGTAAAGCACAGCTATCCTGTTTTCGTCTGATTCGACGGGTTTCCCGTGTACTATACCTCAGTAAGGGTTCCCTTGTATCAGCAGCTGTAGGTCCGTCCATGTGTCTGAATGCTTCCGTTTTTTGTCTGGGCTGGGGTGGGGGACTGGGCTTCAGGTCATTGGTCAACTCCAGTTTGTTACATGTCAGCCTTGCTGGTACTCCATTTGCCTTGGGAGTACCTAAGGTAAGGTTGACAATATGTGGAGTGCCTTTGGCCTCAGTTTTAGGCAAAGCCTCTGTGCACTTTGCTCCAGCAGATTCGCAGTGTATGTATGCAGGAGGTGGCGATGAGTTGATAGGTGGGAGAAAGCTCTGTGGCCGATCATCCTTACATTTGTTCTCCAGCCTTGAAGGCGCTTTATTTGTGTTGAGAACAATTCGTCCAGAGGCTCGGGCCTTTTGTAATTCACGCTCAGCATACTCTTTGAACTCTTTCTCCTCAGCAGCTAAAGCTTTTGCTTGCCTTTTTTCAGCTTCCTTGGCCTCCTTTCTCTGCTGTTCCTGAATGGCACGTCTCTGTGCGTGTAATTTGACATTACCATCAGAAAATTGGATGTTTCTTGCCCTCGCAGATTTAGCTTTCTGGCTTTCCCTTTCAAAGTACAACCTGTTGTCCTCTTTCTGGGCCTCAATCAGCTCAAGATCTCTCGGCTTCTCCTCCAGCTGCTTCTGCACCTTTTCACGCATCTGCGCTTCATTGTGAGCTGAAACAGCTTGCAGCATTTGGTCTCTCTTCTCCCCCTGTATTTGTTCCTGTATTTGTTCCACCGCTGCTTGTTTTTTGGCCTCTTCACATACTTTCTCTTCATCCCTGGCCCGACTTTCCTCCTTCTTTTTCTCTTCCTTTTCCAACATACATCTGACCTTATCCATGCAAAACTCCCTCTGCACAAACCGGGGATCTATGTACTCTTTTCTTTGCCAGCATTGCTCTTCTATTTCAGACCGGTCACGTTCTATCTTCCTAGATAGAACGTGCCCTCACTGGCCTCCAAGTTTTCTAGGATGATGCAATGTCCAGCCATCAACACATTTGTGAAGGAATTTTTACTCCCCAAAAGAGCGCCCCCCCATGGCAGGAGAAAAAAGTCCATTTTTTCTTGTCCCCTAAGGTGAAAATACACATTGTTGAGTGTCACGCCTGTACGCTTTGTCAAAATGACACAAAAATTGACACACACATGTATCTCAATAAGATCTACAAAAAAGTCAGTGCGCGCGTATCTGTCAAATGTACGGTTAAAGGGTTATTCCGCATTTTTTGCCGATCCGCACACATTGGAATTTCGCTAACTCCTCCGAAGGCTTTCGTTCCACCGGCACCACATTTGCTCAGGCCAATCTACACCCCATGGCCATTAAAAGTTATTCAAATCATGACGCTGCATCCCACGGTTTAGGTTCTAGGGGGCGCCAAAGATAACCCTAAAATCCACATATTTAAAAGTCTTATAATTTTTTATTTTTGCCCTCACTGGCCTCCAAGTTTTCTAGGATGATGCAATGTCCAGCCATCAACACATTTGTGAAGGAATTTTTACTCCCCAAAAGAGCGCCCCCCCATGGCAGGAGAAAAAAGTCCATTTTTTCTTGTCCCCTAAGGTGAAAATACACATTGTTGAGTGCCACGCCTGTACGCTTTGTCAAAATGACACAAAATTTGACATACACGTGTATTTCAATAAGATCTTCGAAAAAGTCAATGGCCACGTATTTGTAAAATGTACGGTTAAAGGGTTGTTCCGCATTTTTTTCCGATCCGCACACATTGGAATTTCGCTAACTCCTCCGAAGGCTTTCGTTCCACCGGCACCACATTTGCTCAGGCCAATCTACACCCCATGGCCATTAAAAGTTATTCAAATCATGACGCTGCACCCCACGGTTTAGGTTCTAGGGGGCGCCAAAGATAACCCTAAAATCCACATATTTAAAAGTCTTATAATTTTTTATTTTTCTCCTCACTGGCCTCCAAGTTTTCTAGGATGATGCAATGTCCAGCCATCAACACATTTGTGAAGGAATTTTTACTCCCCAAAAGAGCGCCCCCCCATGGCAGGAGAAAAAAGTCCATTTTTTCTTGTCCCATAAGGTGAAAATACACATTGTTGACTGTCATACCTGTACGCTTTGTCATATTGACACAAAATTTGACAATCACATGTATCTCAATAAGATCTACGAAAAAGTCAATGCGCGCGTATCTGTAAAATGTACGGTTAAAGGGCTATTTTGCATTTTTTGCCGATTCGCACACATTGGAATGTGGCTAACTCCTCCTAAGGCTTTCGTCCCACTGACACCAAATTTGCTCAGGCCAATCTACACCCCATGGCCATTCAAAGTTATTCAAATCATGACGCTGCACCCCACGGTTTAGGTTCTAGGGGGCGCCAAAGATAACCCTAAAATCCACTTATTTAAAAGTCTTATAACTTTTTATTTTTCTCCTCACTGGCCTCCAAGTTCTCTAGGATGATGCAATGTCCAGCCATCAACACATTTGTGAAGGAATTTTTACTCCCCAAAAGAGCGCCCCCCCATGGCAGGAGAAAAAAGTCCATTTTTTCTTGTCCCATAAGGTGAAAATACACATTGTTGACTGTCATACCTGTACGCTTTGTCATATTGACACAAAATTTGACAATCACATGTATCTCAATAAGATCTACGAAAAAGTCAATGCGCGCGTATCTGTAAAATGTACGGTTAAAGGGCTATTTTGCATTTTTTGCCGATTCGCACACATTGGAATGTGGCTAACTCCTCCTAAGGCTTTCGTCCCACTGACACCAAATTTGCTCAGGCCAATCTACACCCCATGGCCATTCAAAGTTGTAAAAATCATGACGCTGCACCCCACGGTTTACGTTCTAGGGGGCGCCAAAGATGACCCAAATATCCACATTCTTAAAAGAATCCACCCCCCCCCCCCCCCCCCCCCCCCCCCCCCCATGGCAGGAGAAACAGTCAAGTTTTTCCTGCCCATCCCTCAATGGCTCAATCGCATCGCTCTCCCGGCAACACCGTAACGAGGAGCAACTTGCCGTTTGGATATATCCTAGCTGTGTTTGTGGACCCACTCATGGTCCAGACTTTCTTCAAATAGGACATGTAGTTTGTCTGCAGCGAGTGTTTGGTAGAAACTGCGCCTCCCATTCATTATAATGGGAAATGACCACAGACAAGTGAGCACACCATCTTTGGACCTTGAGTGTGACGCGATCGAGAGGGGGAGGCGGTCGCGCCGGGGGCGGCGCAACGCGGCTCGGGCCCGACAGTGCTCCACCGGGGCCCTAGTAAAATTTTAAATAAAGGTTAAAAATAAAAAAAATTGAGCTGCATGAAAGGAACTATGAGTTAGCCCTTTTTTGTGTGTGTGTGTGTGTGTGTGTGTGTGATCTTGCACATCACTGTAATAATATGACATCAATGCCATGGTTGTGGTTCTGTCACTGACATACAGCGGGAAATAATCATCAGGGAAAATGAGGGAAACACATGGAGGCAGTGAGAATTTGTACTCACAGCATACTTGTTGCAGAAAATTGAAAAAATTACACTGAGCCTCTTAACTTATTCACCCACAATTTTTGCCAGTATTCTTTATTTAGTAAAGATTGGGCTCACAGTTTAGGTAGACACAATCTGATGGTCCGTCCACCAGTAACGTTTTAGTCCGGTCTCAATATACATTGTCTAAATTTTTCTGTGATTAATTGTGTATTTTTATCTTTTGATTGTTCTATCTTCATCCATAAAAAAGGGTTGGGGATGTATATATGCTGTTATAATTATTGTCATTAAATTGACACTTACCTGATAAACAGTCAAAAACCTGCTTTAAGAAAAAAAACAAAAAACAAAAAAAAACAGTTTTTGAGTTTTTGGCCCCTCTGATAGTTGGGCAAAATACAGTAATTTGGAAAAAAACAAACAAACAAACACAAAAAACATAAAAAAAATGTCTACAACCATATACATTCGGAGAAAGGGAAGTCAAAATAGTATGTAACACACACTAGACATGACACATAGAGTTATTGTCTTCATTGTCACACATTGTCTTCCAACTTGGCCTACTCAGAGGTTGACAAATACATGTATCATAAATTTAATAAAAGGTAGAATTCAACCTTTTCCTTGGTCCAATAGAAAAAAGGCCCTTCTTCTAAATCCAGATTAGTCATCCTTACTTAAGGGTGCTCTTATACCAATCTTCCTGAAAATATTTGACACCTTACAGCAAAAAAAAAAAAAACGGTAAATAAAATAAAACATGTCAGAAGGTCACACAATAAAGGATCTTAGGCTGCATTCACATCCAGAGTAGGCACTACCTAAGCCCCAAGGTCACCCCAGAAGAGATTTGTACCCTTATTTTCAACCTGTCACATACCACTGAGTTTGACTGAAAAGCTTGCATACTCCTGGGCCTTGACAGCACATTCAGACACAACTGAATACAAAATGCTGTGTTTTCAATATGAAAAACCAATGACTAAAAGAATGCTGACCAAAAATCCACTTTTTCAGCAAAATATACCAAAGCAGAGATTTCCCCTTTTGGACTTGAGTTTTCTGTCCTGGCAAGACTGTCATCTGGCATTCAAAACTTGTGGTTCATTTCAAATTAGCCACTTTCCAAAGCCTGCCAAAAGAAAAAAAGATGCAGTCAGAAAACACTGGACAGTAGTCTTTTTTTAAGTATATTTTTAGGAAGCACTCCAGCACTTTTACACTGCTTGTGACATTCCCCCACTAACATCACAGTCATACACTGATAGCAGAGGCTGCTACATTAAGTGCTCATCCTATTAGTATTACCTGCAGCTGTTGAATGATTAATTCTCTTGATCCTAATTAATCACATGATTGTCCATAGTTAACCTGCAATTAATTGCAAATTAATCACACATATTTTATCTGTCGTAGAGGTAACCTGAAGGGATGTTTGTCAGGCTTTTATAATATAATCAACATGGTGGTAGACCAATACGACTGTTATGTAACTGTCTATCAGTGAAACTGTCCAGAATAAAAGCATAACATGGCAACATAAGAGCAATAAGCAACAACTGATGGGCACAGTGAACTACAAATAGATTTTAACATCCAAGTTTCACCTTTTGAAGGTAAACCAAAGACCTCCTGTTTTTTCAAGCAACCTAACAAAAAACTGTGAATCTTGTGCATTTTAACTACACACACATTGCATACTGAATGTATGGGTCAGTTAAATTTTCCATCACCTAAGAATCATTCCCTGAACCTTCATCCCTGGCCCCTGAAGCAAATAATCTTGCTTGCTGTCATTAGGAGAGGCCTAATGATTGCAGGCAAACTATTCAACAGACCATAGCATCAACCATATCATGCAGGTCTCTTTTAATCTCTGATCATACATAACACACAGGCATAAACTGTGTGTTCCTAAATGATCAGATAACAACATAACCTACCAATTTAAAGCTGATGTCGAGCAAAGCAACATGGAGTCTCATACAAGGAAAACAGAAAAGAGGGTATTCCCTGCAGCAGTATGTGGTGACGCAATTATAATACACCATCTAGACTGTCACAGCAGGCCGGGGGGTCATATCACAGACATGCAGGCTGAATGTTAAAGATCACAGAGTGCGTCAATTGTGCTTGAATAAAATTGAGGCATACCAAAGGAATTTGTCAATCCTGGCAGCCTCGGTATGAATTAATCCAACGTGGTATTTGGGCAGCAGGGTTTGGGATTGTACCAGCAACCCTGTGACTCATAGATGAGCCTGTAAGCATGCTGACATGCTTTAAAAAAACTAAACTAAACAAAACATGTTTTCTTTTGTATGACCTGAGGTTAA